GGCGGGCAGCAGGCGGCGGACGTAGGCGAGGGCGGGCGGCGCGGGAGCGGAAGGCAGGAAGTGCCGCGGCGCGGGGAGCGAGGAGCTAGGCGAGCGGGGCGGAGCGGGTGGAGCTGGATCTCGCGGGAAGCGCGGGGACGCCCGGCACCGCCTCCCCGCCCTCCGCGCCCACCCCCTTCCCCGCCGCCCCGGACCGACCGCGGGGGGGCGCTGCGGCCTGCGGGACGGGCCAGCGCTCGGGCTTCCGGTGACCCGTGGGCAGGGATGTGGTGCCAGGCAGCTGCGCCCGGTGGGAAGCGATTTGTTGCTTATAAATAATAACTGGTTTTGTGTTGTTCTAGTAAGGTAAAAATAACTCACTTTTTTTTTTCCGCGGAAACTGAAAAATACAGGAAACTAGAAATCACCTTACTCCCCCAGCACCTGGAGAGATTCGCAGGTAACATTTTGATACATTTCCTTCCAGTCTTTTCTCTAGGCGTTTGCAGTTCTCTTTTTAAAAATGTATTGCATAAAACTGGCATCAGACTGTATTGACTATATAGCTGACATCTTCTGTTTTACCTAGCATCAAGTGATGAGAATTTTGCCATATCGGTAAAGTTTTGCCAACATGTTTTTTAATAGTTGTATGTTGTTCCAATTATGGATGAACTCTAATCTGTGTAGCCTATTATTACACATTTAGGTTATTTTATAAGCAACACCAGAGTTTAAAATCTATTTGAAATCCCACAATCCATAAACACCTATAACATCTCAATGTGTCACTTTCTGGGCTTTTCCATGCATATAGTCATGTGTTTGCACCTACAGAAATGATGTCATTTATATACATATGCATTCCTGTACCAACCACATAAAAACTCAAATTCTTGAAACAATGACTGCATGGCAGTGGTTTTTTTTTTTTTTTTTAATCTCTTAGAGTAGCACCAGGAGTAAGCAGAAAAAAAGGCTGTGACCCAGGGGCATAGGCAGAGCCAGGACCTGCAGCTGGATGATGCTTCCAGCAAGTGGGTGAAGACAAAGAAAAGAGAACCAAGGACAGTGCCCTGGGCTCTCCAAGGTAAAGGGATCAAGAAAGGACTAGCAAGAAATTCGTGAGATGCAAAAGATGTGATGTATATAATGGAATATTACTGAGACATAAAAAAATGAAATCTAGCCATTTGTTACAACATGGATTGGCATAGAGGGTATTATGCTAAGTGACATAAATCAGACAGAGAAAGACAAATATCATATGAGTATGATTTCACTTATATGTGGAATCTAAAGAAAACAAACAAATGAGCAAGCAAAACAAAACAAACACTAGCTGATGGTTGCCAGAAGGGTGGAGGGATAGGTGAAAGGAGTAAAGGGGAGTAACACGTACAGACTTCCAGTTATAAAATAAATAAGTCACAGGTACATAATGTACAGTATAGATAAATGGCCAATAATATCATAATAACTTTGTATGGTGACAGATGCAACAGATGGTTACTAGACTTATGGTGTTCATATGATGAGCTATATAAATGTCAAATCACTATGTTGTATACCTGAAACTAATATAATATTGCATGTCAACTATACTTTAATAAATGATATATTTTTCAGAAAAACGGAAACTCATGAGGAACAGCTGAATTGGTAGGAGGAAAACCAAACCCGTATGGTATTCTGAAAGCCAACGGAAGAGAGTGTAACTCACTGTTGGTTTAGTGTGCATTTCTCTTCATGTGTATTGGCTGTTTGAATCCTATAGATTTTCTAGTCATGTCCTTTGCCCATGTGCTTCCTATATGTGTCTTTTTGTTGACTTTCAAGAGCTCTTCACCTCTGAACGTAACATCTTTGTTATTGTAAACATATTCTCCCAGTCTGCCACTTGTCTTGTAACTTAGCCTAAGAAGTCTGAGATATGAGAAATCTTTAATCTTTAAGTAGAGAGTATTATGCTAAGTGAAATAAATCAGACAAAGACAAATACCATATGATTTCACTTATATGTGGAATCTAAAAAACAAAAACAAAATTTTCCCTGTATTGCTTCTGGGTTTTGTGTCTTACTTAGAGTCTTTTCCTACCCCTTGAGATATAAAAAATATTGTTCTCCTCAGTCTCATAAAAAATATTGTTCTAATCACAAGGTCCAGAAGAAAATGTGGGAGACTTTTCCTATAGGAGCCAGATAAGTGCTTGGCCCATAATGGATGTATGGTCCCTGTGCAAAGGGGAATGTAGTGCCGCCTGGCTGAGGACTCCTTCCCATGCATCTTCAGGAAACTACCGTATTTGCCGGCGTGTAAGACGACTGGGCGTATAAGACGACCCCCTAACATTTCCACTCAAAATACAGAGTTTGTTATATACTCGCCGTATAAGACTACCCCCTCTTCCGCACACCTTCCACACACCAAATAAAAGGTAAAACAATATCAGATTTGATTTGGCCTACTGAAGTGCAAACAAGCGTATTGTATTTCGTGTCACCACATAACCGTTTTGGCGATGTTGAGCCACCATGTCTGCTACATGTTTTTCGAGTTCTGGCCAGTGTGGGGTGCCTCTTCTTAATGCACACTTACCCCTTGGCATACTCTTTAATGCTTTCTCATTTGATTTCCAGTCCCGAACCATCTTTTCTGTTACTCCATATTGTCTTGCAGCAGCACAATTATTATTTTCCTTAGCAAAGTTTATAACTTTCAGTTTAAAATTTGCATCATACTTCTTTCTTTTGGCTGGTGCCATGATAGGGATGATAGAGGTTTGACTGGTCGACATTTTCTATGCTGTACTGTACAATGGTGCAGTATTGTGGTTGGCTGTTGGCTGTATACAAAGCCTGATTTGATTGGTCCCTGCTCCCTGTTTGCCCGCCCTGTCACTATAGCAGTCTGGTCCACCCTTGCATCAGCATCTCCCTGGGACCTCACTAGTGCGCAAGTGCGAGCTCTTCAACATTCTAACAGGCACCATGATAGCGCAAAATCGCGAATCTTCAATGCATATGTAAAGAAATATACGGTAACCCGAATTTACCACACTCGCAAAATCGCATAACAGCCGAGCATACACCCAGCAGCGCTGCTGATGCCTGAACGGTATGTGGAATGAAGTGGGCGGGCATCGGGAGGCCACTATGGCACGGGGCAAGCACTATGGGCAGTCTATCTGAAGTGTACCTGGCGTATAAGACGACCCCCCACTTGGAGGCATATTTTTCAGGGCCAAAAAATCGTCTTATACGCCGGCAAATACGGTATGTCTACATTTTGGAGGCTTAATCCATGTGACATATGCCCTTCCTGCCACCTTACCCATTCTGGCTTATAATAATGGGTGTTTGGGTGAATGGACTGTGGGTGTGTTTTTTTTCCCTACTTTGCTGAATTTTCTAAGTTTTCTTCAATAAGCAAGCACTAACAGCCTCTTTAAAATGCAAAGGATAATGGAAAGCTTGCTAAGAATAATGGTTAGGTAAGTGGAATGGGTATTAGTTTTTGACAGCCTGGGCCAAGAGAAGAGAAGGTGGACTGTGGACTTCCCTAAGGTGGAGAATTGGAAAGAGGGCTTATGGGGGAGTTGGGGGTCCCAGAGTTCCAGGTAGATTGGTGCAGAAAATGATCAGTTGAGATGGAGTGGAAATGGGCCCTGTGTGCTGCTACAGGCAGCAGGTAGACCAGGTGTCTGGAAATGGCTATGCCATCAACACATGTGTGGCTTCTTTTCTGTCCTAGGAGTGGCCATACCAGTGCTCTTTGTATGGCACTGGGATGGGCCTGGAAGTGGAAGACACTGTGGGCCTATTGATGGGAGGTAGCTGCAGTTAGCAGGAAAGAGGTTGTCTAGCCATTTGAGGACACTCTTAGAGTTCGTAGATCCAAGAGAAATACTTCCTTTCCCCTAATCTTCCGTAACATATGCTTTTGTTTTTAACAGTTTTATTGAGATATATTTCATGTACCATACAATTCACCCATTTAAAGTATTCAATTCACAGGCATGTGGAACTATTACCACAGTCAATTTTAGAACATTTTCATCACTTTAGAAAGAAACCCCATACCCTTTAGCTCTCATTTACCTATCCATCCCCTGCCCCTTCCCCAGCCTTAAGCAACCACTTATCTACTTCTATTTATATTAACAGATTTCCCTGTTCTGGACAATTCATGAATGGAATCGTATAATATGTGTCTTTTATGATGGGCTTCTTTCACTTAGTATTATGTTTTCAAGATTCATCCATGATATAGTATCTGTCAGTGCTTATTCTTTTAAATGGCTGAAAAATATTCTGTTGTATGGGTATGGTATATTATTTATACATTTGTCAGTTGACAGACATTTGGGTTGTTTCTACCTTTTGGTAATCATGAATAATGCTCCTATAAACATTTGTTTGCAAGTTTTTGTGTGGACGTATGTTTTCATTTCTCTTGGGTATATACCTATGAGCGGAATTGCTGGGTCATGTGGTAACTCTATGTTTAATTGTTTGAGAAACTGCCAGATTGAGATCATTTTCTTTCAGTTAATCTAAAAATTATACCTGTTCTTTGGAATATATTTTAAAATACAGAATTTTTTTTTTAAGATTATATTGGGGAATTGGGGGAGGAGAACAGCGTTGGGGAATCAGGGAAGGGGAATAGACAAGTTGCTGTCCTTTTCTTCTTCAGTCTAGTTGTGGAGAACTTCGCTTCACTGGCCCATGTTGGTATTATCATTGCGCTCTTCCCGGGTGAGGCAGTCAGTCGCTCGCCGGCCGTTGGACAACCGCTCACGGTGGCTCATGGCAGCTCACAGCAGTTGCCAGCCACTCATGCTGGCTTCCAGCCACTCACAGTAGCTCACGGCAGCCCACTGCCACCCCACTGCAGCCTATGCCATTGCCGGCGACTCATGGCAGGCAGCCCAGCTCCAGGTCGAGCTGTTGTTCACCATCTTAGCTGTAGAGGGTGCAACGTCACTGGCCCTCATGTAGGATCTGAACCAGGGCCCTACTGCTCAGAGCTGGCGTCCCAAGCCCACTCTTAACCAACGTGCCACTCGGCCGGCCCAAAAAATACAGAAATTTTTGAGGATAAAAACATTTAACCACCTTTAATTCTACCACTTGGAGAATATCCTTAAAGGATACTTTTCTGTGCATATTGTTTTTTAATAGAACCACACTTAGCATAATATTTTGTAGCCCATATTGTGAATAGCTTTTCATGTCAATAAATGTCTATATCAGTGAGTTTCAAACTTCTTTTACTCTAGGAACCCTCTCTTCAAAAGACCATTTTTGAAAGCCCAATATGTAATCATTCAATAATCAACAATCACTTACTGGGTCCCTGCCAGGTGCCAGGCATCCCTATCCCCCAGTATCTGTTCTCTTTAAAGACTGCAGGTATTACACAGATATTACACCTTCTGTGGCTGTTACAATATTGAAGGACACCCAGCTTATGCTTCATGTTTCATTATTGCTAACAATGACTCTGTGAACACATATCTGTGTGTATTTTTATTATGTCCTTAAGAGAAATCCCTGGAAGTGGAATTTTGGGGTCAGAGGCCAACCTAGGACTGAGGCCTATTCAAGGTGCTGGAAGACACGTAGAGAGATAAATAATTTGGTCCTTGTTCTTCAATAGCTCAGTCACCTTGAGGAAATGAGATGGAGAAAAGGGAAAAGGAGATTTCAATGAATAAAAACCACATCTGGGCTGGCCGAGTGGCGCGTTGGTTAAGAGCTGGCTTGGGATGCCAGCTCTGAGCAGCAGAGCCTTGGTTCGGATCCCACATTAGGGCCAGTGACGCTGCGCCCTCTACAGCTAAGATGGTGAATAACAGCTTGACCTGGAGTTGGGCTGCTGTGAGTCGCAGGCGACAGGGTAGGCTACAGTGAGGCTGCAGTGGGTTGCGGTAAGGCTACCGTGAGTGTCTGGCAGCCCGTGTGAGCTGCCAAGAGCCACCGTGAGCGGCCGTTCAGCGGCCGGCTACCGATCTGCCTCACCCAGGAAGAGAGTAATGATAATACCAACATGGGCCAGTGAAGCCACTTCCTCCACAACTAGACTGAAGAACAAAAGGACAGCAACTTGTCTGTTCCCCTCCCCTGATTCCCCAATAAAATCTTTAAAAAAAAAAAACAACCCACACCGTCCAGCAGTTCCTGTTTAGGAATTCATTCAATGCCTACCTTCTGCATCATTGCAAAAGCTAATAACTTAAATGTTCAGAATTAGGGAATTGAGTAAATATATGCCATTATGGTACTAATATGAATCCATCTCCAAGTAAAATAGAAAAAGCAAGGTTTAAACAATGTTTCTTATACTGTTTGTATACTGTTTGTATATTGTAAAAATACGGGCATATACATATGCTTGTACAATAAATGTATAGACCTGCCCTGTCCACTATGGTAGCCACTAATCCTATATGTGGCTATTGAGCACTTGGAATGTGGCAAGCTCAAGCTGAGATGTGCTGTGAGTGTAAAATGCACATTGGACTTTGAAGACTTGGTACCAGAAAAAAAGTATGTAAAGTAGCTCATTAATACTTTTTATATTAATATGTCAAAATTATAATATTTTGAATATTTTAAGTAAAATATTGAAATTTCATGGTTTGTTTTTTTTAATGTGGCTACTAGAAAATTTTAAGTTACATATGTGGCTTGCATTTGTGCCTTCCATTATGTTTCTACTGGCTTGGACTTAGACTATCTCCAGAATGATATAGAACAAATTTATAATAGTGGTTGCTTCGGGGAAGCAGCCCTGAAGGTCTGTAGGGGGGCGGGGGACTGTATTTTCACTACCTTTTGTACCATTTGAATTTTTTCCTTTGCCTGAATTTTTGGGACCATGCATCAATTTTTAAAAACCATTTAATATGTCACATGGCATGATAGAAAAGGCACCAGAAAAATTAGTCCCACAAAGAAGATGCTGTTTGGGAACAGGCTTGGAGAACTGAGCCCAGTGCTTGATATGTACAGTCCAGTGCCAGGTCGTTTGTTTCCATGGGAAGATGGAGCCTTCTGCCCACAAATGTCATTGTAACCAGCGCCTGGTTGGATGGGAAGAGTTGATCCTCTTACTATGATGTTTGCAAAAAAAATTTTAGCTTGTTTTTATTAACTAGGTTTGTTTTTAATTGAACACATAATCTATGATCTAGTTGGCAAAAGGAGATTCTGGAAGATACACAGGGCTGATACGTGGGATGCTGTGGAATGATCCCTCTGTGGTTCTGGCTCGTCTTCACTGGCCCAGAGGTGATCTTCTGACTGGGATTTCAAGGGATTCAAGAGTATAATCCCCCCTCCTCCCCCTCCCCACCCCCACACACCTTCCCTACACCCTGTAGAAGTGTATGGGGTGGGGGTGGGGGTGGCAGGTAACATCTACTGGGTTGATTTTTATAATGCAACCCTCAGGACAGTTCTATTTCTGATCTTTTGAGTGGGAGGCCTCACAGCCCTCCCTCCCCCCACTAAGGGCAGTCACAGCCTTGAACCTTGGAGGTCCAGAGTGGGACCCTTGACCCAGGGCATATGAGCAGGAAAGTTCAGCACTGCCCATCACACAGCATTGGGCCTGGCGCATCACAGGAGGAGCTGGGCAAAATGATGAGAGAAGGAAAAGTCACAGTTCCAACCCAGGTCACCGGTCTTAGGTGGGCCTAAGATCTTCCCATCCCCTACCTTCATAGCCTGTCCCTGGCCCTCACAACGCCCCTTGCCAGGCCCTCCATTTTGCCACCCACACCCCCTGCGCCTTGGTTGGGGCTGTTCACTAAAGAGTGCAAGGCCACAGCTCCTGCCTTCCGGAGCTGCACCCCTCGCAGCTGGGGAGATGGGATGCAAAAGCTGCATTATGCCCACTCTCTTTTTGGATACAGCCTTCCTACCTCGTTCCAAAAAAGCAGTCTCGCTGGAAGGTGATTAGATAATTAGAAGATGTTCAGTCTACACTAGTGACAAATTCAGCCTCCCAGATCAACAAAGAAACACCAATTAAACAATATGATGCCATTGGCACCACAGAAGTCAAACCGTTTGCCAATGGGCAGGATATACTTCTATAACTGGGTTTTTAGGTCACCGACACCCTCCTCAACCCTCGCAGCCAAAACCCATGGCTAAACCAACCATGAGATCCTTCTCTGGCGCTGCAGGAGAAAATTGGGCCCCTTAGGTTCACAGCTAACTCAAGGCCCCTGGAAGCACCCATCAGTTACGCATTAGCCCCCACTGTGGGTCCACCTCCCGCGCTGAGGGCTCCAGGTGGAAATTAGGTTTTGGGGCTTCCAGGCGCCTCCTGTCGCGGTGGCAGGAGGCTGCGCGAGCAGCCTGGGGAGAATCTCGGCCTCATCACCTGCCCAACCTTGTGACCTTGAACGAGTTACTGAACTCCACGCCTCATCGTCCGGGTCTGTAAAAGAAGCGAACACGAACTGCATAGAGCCGCTGTGTTCGGCAAACTCCTCTAACAGTGCCTCTCACAATGCCTACCGGTGCTTGTGAATGATGTTAAACCGCGGGGGTCCCTCTTGAGGCCACCCTAAGGGTTTGTTGCTTCCCCTGGGGCGCTCTCTGCTGGGGGTGTGTAACTCCAAACCACAACCTGGGCAGCGGAATTTGGAAAGCCAGGATTCTCAAACCCTGGCTCGAGGGTGGGGTGCGCAGGGATGGGGCGTGGGAGAAACCCCAATTCTGCCGCCCCACCCAAAGTCTCAAATTGGGCGGGGCCGGGCTGGTCCAGCCTCGCGCCTTTCACCCCCGCTGGCCCGCCCTCAGTCCCGCCCTCCTCTAACCCGCGCCCCCATTGGTGGCGTCCGGCGGCGCGGCCGCTGTTATTTTTCGAATATATAAGGAGGTGGAGGTGGCAGCTGCTGCTAGAGGCTTCGCGGACTAGCGGCTGGTCCCCGCATCCCTCCACCCTTCCCACCCTCCCCGCCTCCCTCTGCTCCCTCGCTCCGGCCCCGTTGCTCATCCTCCCTTCCTCCCCCCTCCACCCCCGGCCCGCTCCCTACCTGGTCCCGGCCAGCTGTGCCCGGCCTCCGTGGGTCGCCCGGTCCTCCGGCCAGCCTTCCTCAGGCCCCGGCGCGATGGAGCTGCCCCAGCCAGATCCCGCCGCGCCGGGCTCGGCTCTAAGTCCTGCCCGCGTGCGCGGTGGTACCGAGCGTCCGGGCCACCTCCCGGGCCTTGGGCTGGGAGCTCATGGCCTCCTGGGGTTCCCGGAGCGCACGACAGCTTCCTCGCCGGTCTCCACCCTCACCCAGACCATGCATGATCTCGCCGGGCTTGGCAGGTAGGGCTCCCCAAGGAGGCCGGGTGTGGAGTGAGAAGTCAGCACTAGGTGTTGATCCCAGGCCTCCTGGGGAATCCAGCATGGGAGCCAAATCTGAGAGGCGAAGTGGGGAGGCGTCCCGGGCAGAGCCTGCTTCGGGGATCGGGGACAAGGGTGGTGAGGCCAGGACTTTGCTGCTCACACTCTCCAGGTGACCTGCTTTTGGCCTGCACAAGACTCTCAAGACCCTGTTTTCCCCCTCCTCCTCCTCCCTCAGTGTACCTCACCATGCCACCTCCCTAATCTCTGCCCAAATTGCCACCATTTTGCCCCAAATCGTGAACCTAGAGGGGGAACTTGAGGGTGGCAGAGCAGCCCAGTTCTCCTATGTCCATACCCCTGTTCCCTCCACCCCCAGTTCAATCTTGGGGTTAAGGGGTTAAACGCTGGTCCTGCTCCCTGAGCTAGCCTGCAGGATCCAGGCTGGGTTGTCCTCCCAGCAACAGAGACCCAAGTCTTGGTCCTTCCTCCAAGAAGGCTTGTGGCTGGGTAGGCGCTTAAAGGCTCTCCAGGGCTGCTCTGCTGCCCCACCATCCCCCAGGACGGTCTCCAGCCCAGCTCTTTGCTCTTGTCTTGGGCTCACCTCCTCCTGCACCCCGGAGGACTTATCAACAAAGAGAAGACACTTATGGCCTTTGTAGTAGCAGCTTACCTTGGTCTAAGAGGGCAGGCCATCCATGCCATCACCTATCCTGGGGCAGGGCAGAAGTGGGTGGCTGGTGGGAACCTGGGCTAGCCAGCCCTTGAACCCCCCATTTACCTTTCTCCTTCCCGGGTCCCTGCTCCCTTCCCAGGGAGACCCCAAAGAGTCAGGTAGGCAGCCTGCTCACATGCCTACCCCTGTCCCCGCTGCGGGCATCTGCATCCTCTCTGTCGTCTGAGTCCTCTGAATCTTCTGATGCAGGTGAGGCCCGGGGATGCCAGGGGAGTTTGAGGGGCTGCCTGAGCCTCCCCACTTTCCTGATAATTAGATTAACATCTTTCCTGCAACCTGCCCCCACCCCCACCCCGAAGCCTCTCCCTGCCCACCTCTGGTGGGGCTCACCACATCCAGCCCAGACGGGCAAAGCAGGTGGTTGGGTGGGGCCCTCTGCAGATGAGATCTCACCTATTTAAAACCAAAGTCTCTGAACCACAGCCTCACCTGGGAGGCATTAGGGCTGAAAGCTATGTCATTTTACAATATAACACTCATTTGCCTTCAGCTATAATCTTTTCTTTTAAAAAGCCGTTATCTTTTCTAGAATAAATTATATTAAACCAGTTCAAGAAAAATGCCCAGCGAAGTTTTGGTTTAAAAATCTATGTAGAAGCATTTCCAAGTAAACAGGGAGTGGAGCCCTGGACAATTTGGGGGGCAGTGTCAGCCCTTGGGTGGGGTCCATGGGTGGGTTTTGTTTCTAAAAGAGAAACAGGTTTTCTCCCTTCTCTGAATAGGGGTAGGAGGTGGTGGGAAAAGCATGTGGAGGATGGCACTACTTTCAAACCTAGGCACCCTGTCCCCCCAGGTCTCTGCATGGATTCTCCCAGCCCCATGGACCCCCAGATGGCAGAGGAGACGTGAGTAGAGAAGAGGAATTCCCCACTACCAAGGATTCCCACCTGTCTTTGGGAATCCCGGCTCTAGTGCAAACTCACTGGGGAAGCCTGGGAGAGCGGACAGAGCCCCCTGGATCCCCACAAGGGGGATGGCCTTCCTAAGTTCTGGGTTTCTGCTCCCTGGCTCAGAGAAGGGTCTTCTCTCATGGGAGCAGCTGGGAGTGGGCTCAGAGCTGGGGTGGTGGCCTCTGGAAGTTGCCAGCCAGCCCTTGTCTTGTGAGAATACAGGCCTGGTATGTGTCCCGTTTTTCTTTCTGCCTATACCCATTTTTTCCTGTGAAATATCACAATTTTAAAATATGGTCCAACTAATTCAAAACCTTTATCACTCTAGGCCAAACAAAACAGTTGCTGCAGGCTGGTTTGGCCCTTCGCCATCCTATCAGCAACCTCTGGCTTCAATGACACTTGACCCTCTGGCCAACCCCTGGACCAGGCCCTTTGTAAGAGGGACTGGAGAGGGAGCTGGTGGGCTCTGCTCAGGACAGATCCCTCTCCCACTAGGTTGTGAGGCAGGAGTAGCATCTTCCAGAGCACAGCTTTCTCCATCCATCTGTTCAGCCTCAGCAGGGAGAGCAGTTGCCAAGCATTAGTGAGAACAGTTGGGCACCCCCAGCCTGGGCTGGGGGACTGTGGCTTTGGGTTTAGGGCAGTGGCTGTCTTTTTCCCCCCATTGCCTTTGATCAGACTGGGCTGGGTTTGTTCACAAACAGGAAATGAAGAGAGAATTGGGTGGGGGTGGGGTCGGGAGGAACTGCAGGTTGAGTTTTGGTGGCAACACAGAGCTGTCCCTGCTTTACCCCTCCAAGGCCCTAGTGCATATTGGAAATGAAGCCAATGAAATTGGTCATCCCTGATGCCAGGTTGGCTGGGCATAGCCACCTTTCCACACACCTGGGGGCCAACCCCTTGATATTTTAGTTCTCAATGCCCCCCACCTCTGCACCTGCTTTGACGGTTACAGTTTCTCAGAAAGAAGCGTGTGTGTGTGTGTGTGTGTGTGTGTGTGTGTGTGTGTGTACATGTATGCATAGATGCACAAAGCCCTGTGTGGCAGGTGGTCTCTGGTAACATAGCTAGGGAGGTGGGGCCTCTCTACAGAAGCTTGTGCTCCAGCCTCAATAGGAACATCTGTTGGAATTTCTTGCCTGCTGGCCTATCCTAAGGCAGGAGGAGAGGGTGGGATAGAGGCTGGGTCCCGGAAAATTCCATAGGAGGGAGGAGAGGATGTAAACCTACACATTTGGCACTAGGGGGTCTGGCATGGCAAACTGGCGCTGATCCAGGGGCACACTAAACCAGGCTCCTGTCCTGGGGGAGCCCGGACAGCCCCACACAAGGGGACGCAAGCCCCCAGCCTTGCTGGTATCCAGGCCCTGGAGACACCCACATTGTGGGCCAAGGCCTGTCATCATGGGATGGATGAATGCCTTTTCTGGCTGCCATATGGCCCTGCTGAGGTGATTTGCATACAGGTGGAAGGCCTGTGGGCAGGCTGGCGTGACTGTTGTCTGGGTAACGTTCAGCCACCCCTGCGACCTGCCCCAGCTGTCTCTGTTGCTGCCATTCTCTGGCCCTCTTCCATTCAGGGCAGCCTTTAAAATCCCAGGCTGCCTTTCATCCCCCCTCCCCAATACCTGGGCCCCCTTGTAGTTGACATTCTTCCTACCTTCCCTTTCCACTGTCCTAAGCCCTGGCCCCCAGGCATTGTGGACTGGGGACCTGATGCTTGGGGTAGGCAGTGGGTTGTAGTGGGAGGTAGGCTGCATGGGACCCTTCTCTCTCCTAGGTTTGAACAGGCCATCCAGTCAGCCAGCCAATTCATTCGAAGGTAAGCGCTCAGCCTTCCACTTGCAGGTTCCCGTGGTCTACCCACCACAGACTCCTCCTGTCCCCCTTCCCATAGGGGTGCACAGGACTCTGGGGTGGAGGGGCATCCTGCATGCTCTCCATTGTGGCCCCAGACTCTCCAGTCCTGATGTGTCCCTGTTTCCTGCAGCAATCAGTTCACCATCCGACGCTTCCAGTCCTTGCCGGTGAGTGCCCTCTGAGGCCTGGTGGGAGGCTCAGGCATGCTGGCCAGGTCTGGGGAAGGGCAGAAGGGATCCAGGGTCAATTCCAAGAGGTTGCACTTAGGTTCCGGTGTCCCTGGTCTGACTGTGGGAGATGGGGTTTGGGAGGCGGGCATGCTGGCCTGACCGTTGTCTCAGTAACACTCAGCCACCAGGCCTTGTGAACTGGGGAGTCCGGGGAGGGATGGGAGAAGTAGGGCCTAGGCTGGTGCCAGAGGAAGGCAGCCTTCAGTACCTGCCGCCCTCCTGGCTCCCTAGGTGAGGCTTCTGGGCCACAGCCCAGTGCTACGGAACATCACCAACTCCCAAGCACCCAGCAGCTGGAGGAAGAGCGAGGCGCGCAGCCATGCTACCGGAAGCTCTGAGGAGGACAAAGAGAATGTGCGCTTCCAGGAGGCTGGAGTGTTCCCACTCCAGGGAGAGAAGGGGGCTTGCTGGGGTGATTCTCTGGCATTTGATGATGCCCCTCCTACCCCCATTCTTGCCCACAGGATGGATTTGTCTTCAAGATGCCATGGAAGCCCACACATCCCAGCCACACCCACGCTCTGGCAGAGTGGGCCAGCCGCAGAGAAGCCTTTGCCCAGAGGCCAAGCTCGGCCCCCGACCTAATGGTACATCTGGAGAGCTGACCTTTGCAGGGCAGGAGTGTACGCAGGGCGAGTGCCTCTGAAGACAGACTGGGGACAGGAGGGTGACTGAGCCTTGAGGCAGGGGAACCTTTTTTCTGAAAGATGGGGGTGGGGACTCCCTCGGATTCCCACCCCTGAGTAGTCTGCGTCTGGTCATCACCCATACAGTGTCTCATCCCTGAGCGGAAGATGGAAGTAGAGGAGCTGAGTCCTCTGGCCCAACACTTCTCCCTAACCCCCACCAAGGGGGCTACTGAGGAAGACGATGGGTTCGTGGACATCCTAGAAAATGACTTAAAGGTAAGCAGCCTTGCCCCGTTAGGGGCCCTACCTCTCCCTCTCTGGGGTCACTCAAAGAGGAGAGAGCTCTGAGCTTCTACAGCAAGACTTATGACCTCATTCCAGTGTCCGAAGAATTGGAGGTAACTGAGTCACAGCCTGACCTTGGGCCAATCAGAGAAGAGCAGGTGGCTGCTGCTGCAGTGAGGGGCGGATGGGCGAGGTAGACAGCCACACTTCTCTCAGTTCTGTGCAAGCCCCAGCAGCAAGGGGGACCCTGCCGCCTTCTTTGTTCTGGGGGGCTGCCCTGTGTGGATGGGCTGGCCAAGGAGGGCTGCGAGAGAACAGAGAAGGCTGTGTTTGGAGGACTCAGGGCCTGGGGTTTGGCCTGCGGGGGTGACCATATTCTTGCTGATTTGGCCTCAGGATGATGATGTAGTCTCCCCAAGCATGGAGAGTCTCATTAGCGCCCCCCTGGTCAAGACTTTGGAAAAGGAAGAAGAGCAGGTGAGCCTCTGGGGTGGCCCCCTCAGAACTTGGTGGGGTGGGGCCCTACCCTCCAAATGGGGTGGCAGTGGGGAGCAGGAGCTGAGCGCTCTGATCCCCGCCTGCCCGCCTTGCCAGGACCTCATCATGTACAGCAAGTGCCATCGGCTGTTCCGCTCTCCGTCCATGCCCTGTGGTGTGATCCGGCCCATCCTCAAGAGGCTGGAGCGGCCCCAGGACAGGGACCTGCCCGTACAGAACAAGCGGAGGAGGAGTGTCACCCCTCTGGAGGAGCAGCTGGAGGCTGAGGAACCTGTGAGTGCCCTCGTCCTGGGGTGGGGCTGCCCCCTTCCCAGTCTACCCTTCAAACCCTTCTCAGCCAGGGTGCAGGAAAGGGGGGTAACCAGCCAGATGGGGCACGGAGGGGCAAGCCTCCTCTCTGACCCTGGCTGCCATCTGTCTCACAGAAAGCCCGCATCCTCCGCTCCAAGTCTTTGTGTCACGATGAGATTGAGAACATCCTGGACAGCGACCACCGTGAACTGATTGGGGATTACTCCAAGGTACCCTAAGGCTCGACCCCTTACCGACTGTGGCCCCGCAGCCCAGCAGCTGCTTCGGCACCTCCCTCTTGCCCCTGAGGCCCCTTCGCTTTGTCCTTTGCATCCTATCTTTCTTTACTCTTACCGAGACTCCTCTCTCTGGCTCTCCTTGGTCTCCTGACTCTACCTCACATAAGTCTGGGCATCAGTGGTGTCTCCACCTTCGAAAATATTTCCAAACTAACATCTAGCTTGATCTTCCTCTGGCCTCATTCCCAGGTTTGGCAGAGCTGGGGGCAACAGGCAGGAATCCTATCACTTCTGTTCCCCTTCTTCATTTCCCCTTGGAAAGTTGTTCTCTGGGTATCAGACCAAAAAGTTGCCTCTCAGTTGCTATGGGAACCAGAGCTGAATTTGAAGGTCAAAGCAGGTGCGGCCTCTGGGCTTGGAAAAGAAACTCCATCTTTTCCATGCTCTTCATATTACCAATTTCACTTCCTTCCTCTTCTCTCTCTCCCTGCTTCCCTTCAGGCCTTCCTTCTACAGACTGTGGATGGAAAGCACCAAGACCTCAAGTACATCTCGCCAGAAACAGTAAGTGTGGACGAGCCATTTGCCTGTTAATGTTCCCTAGGAACAGGCTGCAATCCCTAGATAGGGTAGGGATCGGGGCTAGCCCCTCCCTGCCAGCCTGACCTGCTGGAACCCACCTCCATGGCCTCCTACAGATGGTGGCCCTGCTGACGGGCAAGTTTAGCAACATCGTGGAGAAGTTTGTGATTGTGGACTGCAGATACCCCTATGAGTATGAAGGCGGGCACATCAAGGTGAGACAGGGTGACGAGAGAGGCCCTGAAGACTCACTGCTTCTATCTTTCCTCTACGGGTGCACCTACCCTCTCATGGGGAAGGTCCTGCCCAGCAAGAGGTGGGGTCATCCATTTGAAAGATAGGGACTGCATAGGGGAGGGGCCTGCCACCCAGGCCCAGGGCTGTGGGCTGACATCTGGCTTCTCTGGCAGACTGCCGTGAACCTGCCCCTGGAACAGGACGCTGAGACCTTCCTGCTGCACAGACCCATCATGCCCTGTAGCCTAGACAAGAGAATCATTCTCATTTTCCACTGTGAATTCTCATCTGAGCGTGGGCCCCGCATGTGAGTTCCATCTTCACCCAAGTTTAATGACGTTGGAGCCATCCTATGGCCAGGAGGCCTGAGCCCAGCCCCTCCTCGGCCTGTGCCTCTTGTCTCATCTGACCACTTGGAGCAGACCTCACCCCTGTTTCCTTGTGCATGGCACCTTCCTGTCCCCCTTACTGTCCTTTCCGTCAGGCCTCCATTGCTGCATCCTCACTTGCGTCCATTACTGCCACACCAACAAAACCTGGTTCCAAGTTTCTAGCAGTGTACTTAAAAGCCAAGGGCCCTGTCCCTGTCCTCAGTGAGGCTGACCCTTCCAGTGTTCAGTTGTCCTTTGCTTTCCCCACCTCTCGTCCTCCCTAAGTCTTGTCCAGATCTCTTGAATATATCTCTTAAGTTTTGTCCATTTCTCTCCGTTCTGCTTCCTTTCTCTGGGTCCAGGCCAGATATTGCTAACAAAGATTCTGCGACTGCCTTCTAGAAACAGAGAGCCCTCTCGTTTGCCTCCTTCGTTCCATCTTCCCAATCTCTTCTGTACCCAGTAGCCAGACTGATCTAAAAGGGTTCTTGTGGCTGACATGCCTACACTTGAGCCTTCTGTGGTTCCCTAAGGCCCTCAAAGGAGTAGGTGCAGGAAACAGGTCCCCTGAGGCCCACCCCGCTGCACGCCCAGCTCTGACCCCCACACCTGTGTTGGTCCCAGGTGCCGTTTCATTAGGGAACGAGACCGGGCTACCAACGACTACCCCAGCCTCCACTACCCTGAGATGTACATCCTCAAAGGCGGCTACAAGGAGTTCTTCCCACAGCACCCGGTACCACAGGCAGGGGTGGTTGCAGCCTTTGTGGGATGGTTGTACTGCAGAGAAAGGGCTTGGTCAGGTGGTCACTCTAAGAGAAGGAGAAGGGAGGGCTTCCCCCCTCCAAAGTTACCCATTCTTCCATATTGATTGACCCCTCCCATCCTGCCTTAGACCTTCTGTGAGCCCCAGAACTACCGGCCCATGAACCATGAGGCCTTCAAGGATGAGCTGAAGACCTTTCGCCTCAAGACTCGAAGCTGGGCTGGCGAGCGGAGCCGGCGGGAGCTCTGCAGCCGCCTGCAGGACCAGTGAAGGGCCAGCCGTGGCCCCACCTACCTTCACTGCCTCATGTAGTCTGGGTACCAGCCACCCAGGGGCCTGCAGGGCTGAGGCTCTGCTGGAGGCCCCAGGTACTGTCCAGGGAAAGACGGAGAGGGTATTTCATCCATCTGCCCCTAACCCTGGTCCCCTTGTCTCGCTCCAACCATACTCCATATCCTAGTGCCATCCCCTACCGCCACCCCAGCCCCTGGAAGAACCCAGCCTGTTAGTGAAATTGGATTAAGTCCAGCTCAAAGGAAGTATTTTGTGTCCAGCAGGAGCCTTTTTGCTTTTTTTTCAATTCCTTGTTTGGGTTAACCTTTTGTCTTCCTGTATTCAGAAAAGCCTTTTTTTTCTAGGGGCTTTGTTTGTATGTATGAGGCTGGGGGAAAGCCACAGCCCCAGAATGGGCCAGAGCAGCACTCTTCCCTGCCCTGGGAGTCAGCACTGTGCCCTGGCCCTCATAGCACTCCTGAGTGTCTGCGTGTTTCCCCTTCCTCGTTCCCTCTTTCCTGTCCCTCCTTATATACACCTCTAGCACAAACATAAGCTCTTACTGTTTCCTGTTTCAGTGTTACCTGCATGCTTGATTTGTCTGTCTTGATTTTTTTTTGCCCATCTCAGGACACACACAGGCTGAGGCTTACTTTGCCCCTGTCCAGTTGGGATAATCAAACCTTAATTACCCACTTGGTCTAGCTTCTGTTGCCTCACAAAGGGATGTTATTATTCTTGGGGGCCCCTGGGTGAGGGCTAAGGCCTGCATCCTTAACCTCACGGGAAGCCCAGCCCCCACTGTTGTGAACCCTGGGGCCTAATTTGTCAGAACTTGCTGCTGTCTTGTCACGGGCAGACAGAGGGATGGATGAATGGATGATGATGGATGGGTGGATAGCTGCAGATGCACAACGCCTTGCACATACAAACCGCTGAGTGGAAGCATTTCAGTGAGCGTGACAGCCTGCAGCAGGAGTATATGTGTGTCTGTCTATGTGGACAAAAATCTTTACACTTTAAGTTTTGGAAATATTTAAGAGGACATGTCATAGAAGCAGCTAAACCAAGGACAGAGCCACCCCTGGACTTAATCTCAGGACGTGGGAAGGGCTATGCTTGAAGGCTCTGATGTCATCTGTTAGGGCCTTGTTTCAATAAAGCACTGAACAAGTTGAGCAACCAGCACTGTGTCATGTTGGGCCCTTGAGAAGACCACTGCAGACTGTGGGGGTGGGATGAGGCCGGAGCAGGTCGCGGATTGGGGCTGGAAGATGCCTGGGAAGTCTGCCTCATGCTGTCTTTCCAAGTCTTGCTAAGACTTTGGATTCAGCCTCCCCCTCCCCCTCCCCCTCATCTGGCTGCTCAGCTACCTCTGGGCTCACCCTCCCTAAACTTTGCACCAAGAAGGCAAGAGTGACCCCATCACTCCTCTCCTCTAGAATTGTCAGCAGGATAAACTTAACTCCGTGGCTCTTTAGGACCTGGGCCCTCCCCAGCTTTATCCCTCACCTCTGAGTCCAAACCCTTACACCTTGCTCTTCACAGTCCTTTGCCTTTGCATCTGCGGCAGCACCCTCAGACATGCTCTCCCTTACCTGTTATTCCTCCTGTAAGGCTCCATTTCAAATGTCCCCTCCTACCAGAAGCCTTCCTGCCCTGTCAGGGAAATGACTTCCCTCTCAGTATCCCCAGCCCCCAGCAGAGGTTCCACTACCTAGGACAGAGGGCAGCAAACTTTTGAGACGGAAGAGCCACTCCTTTCCCTCACAGCAATTTAAAAATGATTTGAGAGCCATAAAATAAATGAAATCACCATTATGTGAATAATATCCTTTAAAAATTTTATAAATGAAACTATGATAGTTTTATTTTCATTTTCAA